AGGACCTGCATAGAGTGTGCTATATTTGTATTTCTGTCAATCAGTATCAATTAATCAACATTTATTAAGCACCTGATATGTGACAGGTACCGTGCTAAGTGCTGAGGATACAAAAAAAAGCAAAAGGTAGTCCCTGCCCTCTAGGAAATCATTGTCTAAATGGGGGAGGGGGGCCAATAACATGCAAAGAAATATGCGCAAACAAGTTATGTACAGGATGAACAGGAAATGATTATCAGAGGGAAGGCACTAGAATTAAGAAGTGTTCGGAAAGGCTTCCTGTACAAGATGGGATTTAAGTTGGGATTTAAAGGAGTTCAGGGAAGTCAGTAGATGGATTTGAGGAGGGAGAGCATTCCAGGCACAGGGGACAGCCAGAAAAAATGCCCAGAGCCAAGAGATGGAGTGTCTTGTTTGTGGAACAGCCGGGAGGCCAGTGTCACTGGATGGAAGAATGTGTATGTGTGTGTGTGTGTGTGTGTGTGTGTGTGTGTGTGTGTGTATATCTATATATATATATCTATATATAGATATATATAGATATACATATATGTACGTGTGTATTTTGTATGTATATAATATAATATGTGTATATATTAAGGAAGTAATGTATAAGAAGACTGGGATGGTCAGAGGGGGTTAGATTATTGAATGCCAAACAAAGCATTTTATATTTGATCTTGGAGGCTACAGGGGGCTACTGGAGTTTATTGAGTGTATGTGTTTTGGTGGGATAAGGGAGATGTGGGGGTAGGGGTGCCCATTGTGACATGGTCTAACCTACACTTCAGAAAAATCACTTTAGTGGCTGAAAGGAGGATGGATTGGAGTGAGGAGAGACTTAAGGCAAGCAGACCCAACAGCAGGCTATTGCAATAGTCCAGGGGTGAGGTGAAAGGTTCTAGGTCTGTCACAGCTGAGCAATTGTTATTTATGCTCAAAGTTAAGGCTGGTTTCCCTCTAAAGAGAAGATGAAGGGACTGTAAGAATGTGTCTTCATGGTCCAGGTTATAAGGGAGAATGTGCTATTTGTTGATTGATTGATTGATTGATTGATTGATTTAAATTGGAAGGGCTTCACTGAGGTAACAGATGGATTTGGAGATGTAGAGGGGAATGCGTTAGGAAGGTTGAAGAATGTGACACAGAAAAGAAAGACCACTGAACACTTGAAACTAAGTAACAGATATAATCAAAAGCTTTCTCCAAAGATGAAAGAACTAGACTCTGAGGAAGAAGCAACTGCTACCTCTTATTCTCTAAAGAATAATGAATGACATGGAGTTATATAGCTGATGTCAGAGGTGAAAAATCACACAATAAAGGTCAAAAAAGAAGCAATGAGTGGGGATGGTTGGTGATTCTCTGCAGAGGAGTAATGAGGTAGATACTTGTTGACCTGGTAACAACAAAGGTCTGGTATCCTCCTGGGGCATGTGTCCAGAACATGACGGGGAATTTTCCCAAGGTTTCACACTGATGACCACTACCCATTTTTGGTTATTCATAAATGATGCTGGAAAGAATTTGTGAAGCATTACTTAAAGACTATAAAGTCTTGGGCAAGGAACTAAGGACTTTAAAAGGGCCCAGATAGTGTGTTTTCATCACTTCTATTGATCAAAGACAAGGGCTTCAAAAGAGAAATATAGAGTTGGGAAGTAAATAGCTAACTAATAAGATGTCTGAGAATTGGTTTTGAAATTTTGGATCATGGCTTAAACTTTAAAAATAATGGGCTCCTAATCAAGGACAGAGTGTATCTATAAGGACTGGTAAGAAGGTGTTTGCCTAGAATCTTTCAAATTTAATTAAAAGAGCTTTCAGTTGAAAGGGAACAGCTAGATCGGAGGGGAGAAAATGACTATATATGTCTACCAAGCTAACATACCATAGAGTAAAGCAATAATGTTGGGAGAAAAATAGTGGTAGAGATGCCTAGAAATGCATATGAGATTAATTGAACAAAGAAGACAGCAATAATACCCGTGGCTATGTCAGCATGGAGATAACATCATGCATATCTACACATAAAGTGTATAAAATATGAGTAATAAGCCACTTGAATTACAGCTTCTAACCCATGAAGGCAAATTTGACCTCAAAGATGTCAGATTTAATAGGAGACCCATAACTTCAATGGCTCTGGAAGGATATATCTTAATAAAAAGAAACAAGATGGATAAACGGAGAGAGGAGGGGGGGAAGAGCAGTATTGTTTATTAAGAAAATAAATTGTGAGGAAATCAAGGAAATAGAGAAGTTAATAGAGAATATTTGAGTGAAGAACCTGAGGCAGAAACAAAAAGTATGTAATTGAAGTATATAACAGACCACCAGGGAAGAAAGAGGAAGTAGATGAGGAATTTAGGAAATAGAGAGTAAGCCTGGCAAAGATATGTGATATAGTAGTTACAGGAGGCTTCAATTAACCTGACATCTGCTAGAGCACTCTTTGCCAAAAGTAGAACAGCTAAGCATTTCTTGACAATTCAACAAGGGAAAATTCTGTTTCTCACCAAAAAGGAGAAAGTGGATGTTGAAGTTTAAATAAGAGAGAGCTTAGGGAGACGTTATCACTCCAGCTTAGAATTCTTGACAAAGAAAGACAGATAATCTCGGTGTGGTCTGTCATGCACCCTTGATTTCAGGGAAGCAGATCTCCAGGGGTTCCAAGAAAGGACAGATATCCCATAGCCAAAATTTTACAAAGGTCACTCCAGGAGGGATAGGAACTCTCAAGAATGAAATTGTAAAGACACAAAGAGAAACAATTTCAATGAGGAAGAAAAGGAGAACTTGCTTCAAATTGATTTGTGGCAGCAAAGGAGAAAATTGAGTGTCTACCATTTGGGAAATGGATGAGCTTTGGTATATAAGGGTAATGGAATATTATTCACAGAACCACTCAATTTGACTTTAAAGGGATTTCAGTGGTTATCTAGTCTAACCCATAACCTAAAAGAAATCCCCACTAAAACATGCCTGACATATGGCCAACCTCTGCTTGAAGACCACCAAGGAGAGGAAATTCAGCACTTTTAAAGCAATTCATTCCACTTTCTGACAACTCTAATTGTTAATTTTTCCTGTTATCAAGCCTAAATTTGCCCTTTTTTTTTTGCAACTGACTACAGGCACAGTTGGCATATGTATTAATTTCAACTACAGGAATAGTTGGTGCATGTATTAATTTCAATGATGACACAACGCCTAAAGGGAAAGCTAACATTGGATAACAAAATTGGGACTGGTAAAAGTCTTGACAAGCCAGAACACTGGGCCAAATCTAATACAACAAAATTTGATATGTAGTCTCATATTTTACATTAGGTTTAAAAGATTACTACTAGGTTAAAAAAAAATCACAACCACAAGGGAAGATGTAACTAGACAAATAGTTCAACTAAATAAACTCCGAGGGTTTTAGTGGACTGCAAGCTCAATATGGCAATCCCCTCCCCACCCACAAAAAAAGAAATCATTAATACATTATGAGAGACAGGTCTCCAGGATTAAGGAAGTGATAATGCAACTATACATTATACAATGCACATACATGTGCACTGCCAGACTGAATATGAATATTATGTTCAGTTCTAGATGTCACATTTTTGCAAAGACGTACAGCTGGAGTGCATCTGAGGATAATCAGTTTGGTAATAGGTCTCAAAACCATGCCATATGAAGATCTTGCTGGAGGAACTGCAGGGTTAGCCTATAGCACAGAAGACCTAGAAAAAACAAGATGGTAGTCTTCAAGTTTGTTTGTCTGTTTTAAGGGATGTAACCTGGGAATGAGATCAGATTTATTCTGCTTGGCCCCAAAGGGCAGAAAACCAGAAGCAACTCATGAAGGTTACAAAAATGAAGATTTAGGCTTTATGTAAGGAAAAATTTTCTAATAATTAGTGCTATCACCGAGTGAAATGGGCAAGTTTCACACGGCATTCCTCCTGACTTGAAGTCTGAGCTGATATTTTGGGTATATGCAGTAGAAATGATTCTGAAAATGGACTGGACTAGGTGGATCCTATGGGTCGTCCCAATTTTTGAGATTTTAAGTCCTGGCTCTGCTGCTAACTAGCTATGTGAACACAAATCATTTCCCCTGGCTAAGCCTCACTTTTAAAATGAGTGTTTTGCTTTCATTTTGAAAGATTTTGGGGAACACAAAATCAAGATTACTGAGCTACAGGTTCAAAAAACTGCAGCAGAGGCAAACAGGGGACAAAGAAGCACATCAGCTTTGTCTGACTAGAACAGTTGTAATTATCTAACTTCTTCAACACGCTTGCACATTTGTTAGAGAGGAAAAAACAGTTGTTAGTCAAAATGGTCAATGACCCAATATAAAAGGTCCTATAATCAAAACTCTTTTTTCATAAGAAAATCATGGTCATTCATCTATCAATTGCAATATGAAATATTTGAACTCTTACCAAAATAGAAGGAATTTTTTCATGTAAAGCACCTTATTTTTTCCTTCCCTAAATGAAGAAACTATGTTGAAACAATTTTAACACACACATACATAAAATATATGTGTTTATGATCCAGGCCTATGATTCCACTGATACAAGAGGTTCCTGGTGAGGAATCCTCCTTTTACTCATGCAGACTGACAACTATTCTGCAACTTATAGTCTTAAAGGTTAAAAAAATCTGTCCAGGGTCATATGGTCAGTGTCAGAAGTGGTTCTTATATCTGTTATTATGCTATGCTGCTACTCATCAGCTTACATAAACTGTATGAATCTAGAAATGGAAGGGATCTTGAAACACAGAGCTCACAAGTTAAAAGCTGGAAGGGACCTTGGAGATCATTCAACTCCCCGAATTTTCTAGATGGGGAAACTGCAGCCTAGTAAGGGGAAGTGACTTGCCCAAGGTCACATTGCCATATTTCTGGTGCAACAGGGGGTGGAGGGGCAGGAGAGGATAAGATATATCATACGAAAGATTCTGATACAATCAATAACAGATAAGCTCCCCAAAAGTAGAGTTTGTCTCATTTATTACATTTACATCCTCAGTACCTAGCACAATGGCTAGCACATAGTAGGTACTTAATAAATGCTTGCTGATTGACTGATTGAAGACTATACACAATGAAAATCTATGGGGAATGCTCATATTTGATAGGACAAAATCCCAATACTGTATAGAAGAATTTGAACACCAGTTTAAAGTTATCTATAATGGAATTCAATCTGTACATGACATATATGTGAAAAGTATCCTGGAGTGGTTCACACCAAATGTGGATCTATAAAACAATTTATCAAAGTTGTACTTAAAAAGTAACCCCATCTAGTTTGATTACTGTTTGGAAGTTGAAAGATAATAAATCACCACCTATCTCTGGGAATCTGTCAGTGATCACTTTAAAAAAGAGACCATTAGTAATATACATAAATAAGGAAAAGAGGAATATATGGATGAATATATAAGTCAACATGACCCCTCTGACATTTCAAAAGTCAGCACAAGAAAGACTATGCTCCCACATTTCCTAGGTCTACTTTTCTTCTTGATGTGTAATTAAAAGAGCTAGGGCTAAAGATGAAGTCAGTTCTTCATTTTTATGGCAGCAGAAGGCAGTCCTCACCTTCAATTCAAATGTAACACTCTATGAATCTGTCCTCAATGCTAAATGTTTACTAGGAAGAAAAAAAGCATTTGGGGTGTGTACTGTAATGATATTCAAGGCTTGGGTGACAAGGTATAATCATCAGAGTACATATAAAGTCTAACAACCATCATATAGCTGAAATTTTTATTCTGGGAAGGAAAAAAGTATGTGACATTTCCAGATCAAACAATAGGATCTGGGCATATAAAATTAAATTCTTTTTCACCCACACAATGGAAGATCTACGTGTTGCCTGAAGAGAAAAAGCTGTTTTCAAAGATCCAGTTTTTCCTTTAGCAAGTATTTGTAGTGTTTGGACTGTATGCATCATGTCAAAGTGGAACAGATGTTTTTGGTTAAACATCATATTAGCAGAAGATGCTAACCTTTTTTTAAGAGCTACTCATCTTGGATCTTCTCCAAAAGTCTTCTTTCAAAGAATTTATTAATGCACATAACTATCTGCAGTAGCGGAAGGAGGAACCGAACAGTCTTGGTCAAACAATGAAGGCAACAAATTTACTCTTTTAACCTGCTAGACTGCCTGGTTGTCTAGACTATAGAAATTTCCCATTACCCTCTCTTTTGCTTCTGCATCATTAGGACAACAAGGCCCACAAGCGGTCTGGCACTTTTTAGCCATTGCTGGAAGCTCAAGGTCAAAGCTTATTGTCCTTAAACATTTCTTCATATTGGCTTCTGTAAATGAGGAATCCCCTCACTTCTGCTAGTATGGAGCTCATTGTGACTGTGATGATTCAATCTGGCTCTGAATGAGGGAGATTTCAAGCACCGGAAGAAGTAATTGAAAGGCATCTTGGACATATGAAGCACTGTTGGACGCCTGTTGAGATTGAGACAAAAAAAGAAAGGATGGTCACTTCAAAGAAAAAAATCTAAGAGTAGATTACTTTTACACCTGGTGATTTAATTCATATTAATCCCATCTTTTTCAGTGAAATCAGCTTTTTAAAGGAAAACAATAATGAGATACTTCAAGAATGTTTTTACTTCTGTGAGGTGCATCTATCTTCCACCAGTGCAAGTCACAACCCTTCCATATCTTAGTAGGCAGTTGTCATGAGTGCAGCATTCAAAAAAAAAAAAGAAAATTCATCACTTGGTAGCCAACCTTCCATAAATGAACCCCTCCCAATTTAGCTAGGCTGACTTTCAGACGAAACATGCCAATTTGTTGTTGGGCTGAACTTGAAGGCCTTTACAAATTGGTAGGACATACCAGCATTTGTGCTTTCTTAGTATAGTCCTTTAAGGACCTAGGATTACCTCAGTGCAATGAAGAGGCATCAGAGGAGGACTTTAACAGAAGAATGTAATAATAATAGAAATAAAATAATGATATTGATTAATATTATAGAGTGCTTTGTGGTGACAACACGAAAATCTAGTATTAGTATCCACATAGATTTGGAGCTAGAAGGGACTTCAGAGGTCCTCTGGTCCTACCCCATTTTATGGAGAAGGAAACTAAAGGGCTAGAGAGGTTAAGCGGCTTGTCCAAGGTCATACAGGTAAGAGTTAGAGCCAGGATTTAAACCGAGGTCCTGTGACTCCAAAGTGAAGTGTTTTCACAGGTACTTTCAAATACTTTCATTTCATCCTCACAACAACTCTGGGAAGTAGAGATTAGGTATTATAAATATTATTGTTTCCACTTTGTAGATGAGAAAACTCAGGCTCAGAGAGCACAAGTAACTAGAGGTCATCTAAGTCCAACCCCATATTTAACAGACGAAGAATCTAAGAAACAGACAGGTAAACAGATGAATGGTTTCCCGAAAATTAGGATTTTCGATTTTTATTTTAATAATTTACATTTTATCAGCTAAGTTACACACCTGAGCTGGGAACCCAGGTCTTCTGATAAGCACTGCCAAATTGTGGCCATTTTTTCTTAAGAGTTCAAACTAATAATCAAGCACAATCTTTCCCAATCCAGACTCTGATTTTAAAATTTTAAGAAAATTAATTTCTTCCAAATTCTTTAAATGTTGGGTCATACCGATTTACAAGCTATAGTTTCTAACAATCAAAATATAAACCTTCCTGACACTTTTAGGTAATATAATCCCAGGTGTTTTGTTGTTGTGTTTTTGTTGTCTTAATTTTCTGAAGAATAGCATTTCCCAAAGAAATACAACCACAGAACAATTCAGAGCCTGAAATAAACTTAAAGAACCCATAAATGCAGAATTCTAAGGTCAAGACCATGGGCTACTTGGTCCTGGATAGTAGTGGGAATTGTCAAGGATAGTGCATTAGTCTGGGCCAAAACTATGACAGGGCCTAAAAGAGGCTTTTTGTCTGAAAGAGGTCAGAGTTATAACATTTTTCTCCTCTTTAGCTCCTCTCTTGTCTTTTTTGAGAAGGATAGGAATATGTGTATGAAAGGACAGAGGCATAGAGGAAAATCTGGGGTTGGGAGGTCGCGTGCATTGCTCCTAGTGGAGACCAACAGCAAAAGTGGGAAATACCTTCTCTAGCCTGTATCTTTCCCCCATGGACACCAGGCTCCTGCGGGTTAGGGAGAGGAGGTAGGCCTTTGACATGGCAGTACCCCATTGGGTCAGTATTGATGAAATCCTTCTAGAAAAGGTCACCCATCCGCTAAATTTAGTGGAAGGGACACTCCTTCTAGATGGCTATCATCAATACTTTCTCAGGCAACCTAAAATTCTACATAGGAGTTCATATAGCATAGAATACATACAGGGGTTCTGAAGAACACAGGTTGAGGGCACAGCAGAGATACGGTCTTTAAAAAACAAAGCAAATTTTTTTAGCAAGAGGACCATGGGAAGTTTTTTGAAAAAAAAAAAAATTCCTTCCAATGAAACTTTATCCCTTTTGGAAGTCATGCTGGTTAATTTATGATTTTCAGCTCCATCAATGTTTACCAGCTGACTTCTAGGAAGTGTTCCATTACTTGAGTGGCAAGATGATATCTTCCCCAACATATACACACTTTACATTGTACCTCCAACTTTATGATTTTAATTAATGTACAGAATACAGGCAATAGATAGATAGATTGATAGAAAAAATAGATGAATCAACAATATCTACAAATACACCTAAATTAATGAATATGAAAAAACCACTAGTGAAAGAATCAGAAAGTACTCTTAAAGCATAAGACTTAAAACTATAGGTTCAAAAAAAATCAAAACTAACCTCTAGAAACACACCAGTTATTAGTGGATTAAGCACATCTGCCTTTTCTTTGACCTGGAAAAAATGTAAAAAAAATTAATTTTCATAGCACTTACATAATTAAAGTAGTAATGGCAGCTCCCTTTTCCATCCTTTTATAGTTAGAAAATATTTTTCTCAAAACAAGCCTGTAAAACAGTACTATTACTGCCATTTTACAGAGGAGAGAATTAAGGCCCAGAGAAGGAAAGTAACTTGTTAATAGTTAAAAAGCTGTGAGAAAATTGGGACTCAAATTATGGTCTTCTGACTCCAAGTCTAATGCATTTCCCAGAATACTTCAGTGTCTCTAAAGGATGTAAATGAAAATATCATATATTGAAGAATACATGCAGTAACTTTTCAGATGGGGTGTTTGGAAACTTTTAGAAAGAAAATGCTGTCATCTAATTTAGTAATAACCAAGTATTATAGTTGAGCTCATTGCGATGAAAGGATACATGCTGAACACATGATTAACACACATCTAGAAACATTAGAAGGAACTCTGGAACATAAAATATAGAATGCTGGAGTGGAAAGAGACCTTAAAACGGAAATTTTTTTTCCTCTCCCTCCCTAGTCCCCTCACAATTGAAAAAGAAAGGAAGGAAAGAAGGAAGGAAGGAAGGAAGGAAGGAAGGAAGGAAGGAAGAAAGAAGGAAAGAAAGAAAGAAAGAAAGAAAGAAAGAAAGAAAGAAAGAGAGAAAGAAAGAAAGAAAGAAAGAAAGAAAGAGAGAAAGAAAGAAAGAAAGAAAGAAAGAAAGAAAGAGGAAGGAAGAAAGAAAGAGAAAGAAAGAAAGAAAAACAAAACCCTTAAGATAAATATGCATAGTCAAGCAAAATAAATTCCCACACTGGCCTTGTCCAAAAATGTAGAACACAGAATGTTAAAGCTGGAAGGGTCCTTAAAATTTAGTATATGTAAGACAGGAAACATAGAATAGGGAGGCCGATGACTTTAGAGATTATATAGTCCAATTCTATCATTTTCTAAAGGAAAAATCTGAGACTCAAAGAGATAAGCATACAAATACTTTTTGTAAAGTTAGAATTTTTATTTTTATTTTCATAATTTGCATTGTAATTATAGCACTTTCACTGGCTACTGATACTAGGTATGAATCATATTCGAAGTATATAGAGGACTTTAAAAAAAATACAAGGGTCAGAGCCTGATCTAAGATGCCAGAGTGGGAGAATCAAAGGGAGCCAAGACTTCTCACAAACTCTGCAAAAAATAATAAATCAAAACACCAAAAAAAAAAAGAGAGAGACAAAACTAAAAAAGCACATAAGAAAATAAAAATATAACCAAAATAAAAATGAACAAAGCAAAAAAGAATGATACAATTTAAAACATTAGAGGACAATTGAATCAGATAAAATATTAGAAACAACAGAAATGAGAAAAGAAATCAGAAAAGATATTCCAAGAGATGTTCTCAGATCAATAAATGTTGCATTCAAAGGAACCAAGTGAGAACTGGCAATTCAAAAGAAATAAAAAGAAACTATAAGACAATAAAAGAAGAGCTTGAAGAAAAAAAGCAGAAAAGAAAATTTGAGAATTAAAGATAAGCTAAAAAAAGAAAGACAGAGAGAATAAAACTACTGACAATTAAAAACCTTAAAACGTCCAAAGAAATAATGGCTGACATACTAGAAATGAAAAAATGCAAGGATCAAAGATATTTTTCAGGTTCTAAATTTTAGTTACAGACAACAAAATACACTGTGTACTTCAAATATATATATATACACACACACACAGAGAGAGAGAGAGAGAGAGAGAGAGCAAGGATAGCAAAAGAATTATAAAAAAACTGTCAGACATTCTAATCCAATGAAACGAGGCAATTCTTACCCCAACAGTTGTCAGGCATGTGGCAAACTCTTTAGACATTGAAGACAATTCTTTACACAACAAAACTGTCATTCTAAGGAAGTAAAAAGAGAAAGTCAAGTGATTCTTTCCTGCATTTATGGGATGCATTTTAAAACCTCAAAGAGAAAACAAATCATCTCCATGTGTGCCAAATGTGAATGATTAAAGCTTCTTAAGGAGATATAAGTGTCAAATATATAAATAATTTCGAATTTTTTTCGAGACTAAATCTCTCTATCTTGCTCAGGTTGGACCCACTCTCAGGCCCAATCTCAACTATTAATCATCAGGGGAGATTTGACTTGCTCCATTTCCAACCCAGATAGGTTATCATATCTTAGACAACCTGGTGGCCCCCTCTCTGGGTAGGGTCTCACCATATTGGTGCCAGACTTACTACAGCTCAGAAACCCTAGTTCAAGCAATCTATCAGAGCTTCAGACTCCTCAGTAACAGGGATTATAGGTATGTGTCACCATGTCCAGCTCAGAAATATATTTCCAAAGGGCAGCCTCTTGCTAACCAGTACACATATCAAATTCAATTCAATAAATATATATAAAGTAACTACTATATGCAGTAAAAGTTTAGGACACATGATATCAACTAGGTTCTCCCTGACACACAAAAATATATCTATTTTATCTATAGACTTCCTATCTCATTTTCTTCTCTCCTCTCACCACCAAAACTCACAGATGACCTGGCCTCCGACTTCACTGAGAAGCCTGAAGTCATCTGGCTCAAGCAGCCTCACCTTCCCTTCTCTATTCCTTAAACGTCAATTCTCTCTCTCTCTCTCTCTCTCTCTCTCTCTCTCTCTCATTCCATATCACAGAATAGGTAACCCTATTCTTTACTAAGACTAATACCTTTACCTAAAGCCTTGATTCCATTCTTTCATTCTTTCTTGCCTCATCCAGGCCTTGCCATTCAGTGTTAAGCTTCTGTAAAACGTTGTCTATATCCAATGCCTCCACTTTCTCCATGCAGATGATTTTCAAATCTCCAGGTCTGACTTCTCTTCTGATTTCAGGATCCACAATCTCCAGCTACTCATGGGTCTGACTTAAACTTAAGCCTGACAGCTTAAACTGCAATGATCTTCTAAAACTGATCTTCTTTCCCCCCCTAAACATGTGCTCCTCTTTAAGATATGACCATTTTTATCCCTGACACCACTTTATCCACTTTCCAATATTCAAAATCTCAAGAGTTATTTTTGACTCGGTTCCCCCTTACTTCTCATATTAAATCAGATACTAAGTCTTGTTGATAACTGCAAAATTTTTCCCATCCATCCCTATTCCTAGGCAGCACCCTTGTGTAGGCCCTCACTACCAACTGCCTTGACTTACATGAGACCCTTGTTAGAGGGCTTCTAGCCTCTAACCTCTCCTCTATCAAACCACTGTAAATACCATCTTTCTTATGCATAGATCTGGTGGTGTCACTCTCCTACTAAAAATGTTTTAGTGGTTCCCTATTGCCTAATGAGTTAAAATTCTTTTGCCTTGCATTCAAGGCTCACTGAAATTTGAAACCACTCTACTTTTCCAGGCTTATGTTATTTTTCTCCACACTACACTCCAGCCAAACTAAACTACTTTTCTGCTACAACCCCCAACTTGGCCTGTACTCTCACATCTTCATGTCTTTATTCAAGTTGTACCCCATACATTCCCTAGAATATACTCCGTCCTTCTCTAACATCACAAATTCAAGTTGACCAACATTTACTCAACAGATCAAAGCATTTATTAGGTTCCCACTATGTGACTGGAACTGCACTGGTGGAAAGACAAAGACTTGACAAAAGTCTTGATTTTACAAAGAATACTCATTATACTCACTGGGAAAGAGTTTTGCTTCTCTTTAGAGCAGTTATCTCCTGTTTTTGACCATGAAGAATCAATGCTGCTGTTTTATGGAACATTTCAATGGAATAGGCTGTCAGTTCTGCCAGGCTTTGGATGGCAAATGCATGAATATCCTGGAAGACAAAGAAAACCACTTATTTTCTGTAAGTAGGCAATTTTTCTCTAAGAAACATCATCCATCTTTTCACCCTGTGGTAAACAATTTGATATCCAACATCCTGAAACATATTAGACATTTGAACAGAAGATAACCACAGAACATAGAACATCAGAGCAGGAAAGGACTTTAAAATATAAAATATAAGAGCTGGAAGAGATCGGGGGATAATTTAGTCTAACAGCTTCATTTCATAGCTGATGACACTTGCCCAAACCCATATAGCTAGTAAACAAAGATCTAATGCTGTTAGCATTTTAAGTCGTTACTTCTAAGTACAAAGCTGAATATAGTACTTATACTTCAAACATATAGTAAAAGGGTTCTTTTCTGCCTTATTACTTACCTCTAATGTTTTTTTATCTTCTTGCTCTGGATTCTCCAGTTCTATCTGCTTTCCTTCTTCTTCTTCTTCCTTTGTTAAAGATTTGGAACTAGACATCCTGATCCACTCATGAATAGTATTTCTTGCCTACATATGTATTTAAAAAAAAAAAGATAAATGCCCATCAAACAAGTAGGCTTCCTGCCTCAGTAGCAGAACAAACTGATACCCATAAAACAAAGAGGTTGGACTCAATGATCTCTGATGTTGCTCTCTCGGTTCTAAATGACTATAAAAAACCACAAAGAACGCTCACACCATGCCTGTGGCTACAGAACACATTTTTCATAGGCACTATGTGTTGGCATAAAGCCACCACCTTGCAATAAAAACACTGTGACTAAAAAAAAAAAAAGGCAAAAAATTAAATTAAATTAAAAAACACTGTTGCCAAAAAATCTAGCCCAAGACAAATAATGATCAACTTTCTCATAATATGAATGCCACCCAGTGGCTTAGCACAGTATTGCCTGTTACTGCCTGTTCATAAGAACAAGAAAAATCCCTTCTAGAATCCTAAAATTGTAATTACCTTAGAGATTTTCTAGTCTGAATCCCTCATTTTTCATATGAGGAAACTAAGGCCCAGGAATGTGAAGTGATTTGCACAAGGTCATACAGAAAGTAGCAAGGCCTTGACCTTTAGATCCCAGTTTTTGGAATCATCTGTCTAATGTTCTTTGCACTATATATATGGCCTCTCATATAAACTGTACATAAATAGAATCAGTATTAGGTGTAAGGATAGGGACTGCACCTGTGATTTCATTGAAATAGGAAGGTTTCCAATTTGGAAGCTCTCTTCACCTGATAAAAGTCAACAAGTATTTTTATCAGTCAGTCAACAAGCACTTTTTGAGTATTGACCTTGTGCCAGGTACTGTGCCAAACACTGGGGATACAAAAAAAGGCAAAAAATAGTCCTTGTCCTCAAGAAGCATACATTCTAATGAAAGAAACAACACGTAAATAACTGGGCACATATAAGATATACATGAAGTAGATGAAGGTAGTCTGAAAGAGGAGGGCATTAACAGCTGAAAGCACTGGGAAAAGATTCCTGCAGAAGGTGGGATTTGAACTGAGTCTTGAAGGAAGCCAAGAAAAGTAAGAGATAAGGATGGGGGGCAAAGCATTGCAGGCATGGGTTATAACCAGTACAAAAGCAGGGAGGTGGAAGATGGAGAGTCACGTTTGAGTAACTGTAAATAGGTTTGTGTTGCTGTATGTAGAGTGTAAGGAGGAGAGTAATGTATAAGAAAGCTGGAAAAGGAGGAAGGAGCTAGATGATGAAGAGCTTTAAATGCCAAATAGAGGAGTTTACATTTGATGCTGGAGGTAACAAGGAACCACTGGACCTCAATGAGCAAAGGGGAAGAGAGGGGAGAATAGTCAGACCCTTATGCTTTAGAAAAATAATGCTGGCAACTGAGTGAAGGATGATGGAGTGGAGTGGGGAGAGACCTGAGGCAGAGAGGAGTTAGAAGGCTAATGAATTAACCCAGGCAAAAGGTGATGAGGGCTAGAAATTAATAATAACATTTATATAGCACTTACTATGTGCCAGGTACTATTCTAAGTGCTTTACAATTAGTTTTTCATTTGATCCTCACAACAATCCTGGGAGGTAAGCACTATTGTTATCTTCATTTTATATACGAGGAAACTGAGGCAAACAGGGGTTACAGAGGTTAAGTAACTGTCCAGGGTCACACAGCTAGGAAGTGTTTGTGGATATGAACACACATTTTCCTGACTCCAGGCCCAAATGCTCAATCCACCGGGTCACCTAGCTGCAGTAGGGTTGTGGCTGAATGGAAAGAAAGTGGATGTAGAGATGTTGTGAAGATAGAATAAATCTTAAGATTAAATCTTTCAAAAGAAAAATAATAATAAAGAGTTTACATTTTTATAATGCTTTACAGTTTACCTTAAGTACTTTACTCACAATAATCCTATGAAGTACTGAAGTAATGTAAGTGTTGTAATCCCCACTTTATGGATGAAGACACTGAGGCTCAGGGAGGCTAAGGGATTTGTCCAAGGACAGCTAGATTGTAAAAGTGTCAGTGCCTGAACTCAAACCCAGGTCTTCTGACTCCATTGTCATGCTCTTTTCATCCTACTATGTTGCTTCTAAAACAATTTAATGGAACAGGTAGCCTTTTAAAATGTTGTGACAAGTTTCTGAGCCCTTTCTTTCTAGCCTCTTGAGAACAGAGGGAAGTTATTATAAAATACAGGGGGCCAGTTAATAAAAAGCATGTACCTACCTGTGACTCCTGTGGACTATGATGGCTCTTACAAGGACAGGCCACAGAAGTCAACTAGATGCCAATGAGAAATGGCCTGCCTGCCATATTGAGCATACTACAGTTTGATGAGTCCTTTCATAAACTATTCAGCTATCTGTTAAGTACACTAAAAACAAGCCTTCTGTATTATTATTATGGACTCTGAGCTCAAATTAAAGCACCTCCAAATCCTAAAAATATGATGGCAGGCTTAGCCATCAGTCACAAAATCCAACAATCAGATCATACCTTGCTATTAAGCCAATGATGATGATGATGATGATAGCATTTATATAGTGTTTTAAAGTTTCAAAGCACTTTACATATGTTACCTCATTTGAGCCTCACAACTCTGTGAGATAGGTGCTATTATTATCCCCATTTTTGAGATAAGAAGTTAAATATATGACTTGCCCAGGGTCACGCAGATAGTAAGTATCTACAGCAGAATTCAAAGTCAGGTCTTTCTGACTCCCGGGCCCATGCCCTATCTACTATGCTACCTAGTACTACCATTCAACAATAACAATTATTTATATAGCAATCTAAACTTTTTAAAACACTTCACATCTTATTTAAGCTTTCCAACAACCCTCTGGAGTAGGTACTACAAGGTATTATTCTCCTCAGATTACAGACGAGGAAATTGAGGCAGAGAAGTGACCTGCCCATAGTCATACATCTAGTAAGGGTCATAGGGAGATCATCCTAACTTCAGTCTTAGTTCAGTTTTCTAACCTTTAGACATGCTGCCTATTACTTTATTATTAGCAGTGGTAATAATAACAATAGTAATAAGAGCTAACATTTATATGGACACTTAAGGTTTACAAAGCACTTTATACATATAACCTCATTTATTCTTAAAACAATCCTGTGAGGTAAGTTTTATTATTATTATTATTATCATCCCTATTTCACAAATGAAGAAAATGATGCTGAGAAAGGATAAGTACTTTGCCCAGTATCACATAACAAGTACGTATCTGAAGCAAGATTTGAACTCAGGTGTGTTGCCTCCAAGTCTAGTTCTCTATGCAATACCCCACATTGCTCTATTGTAATAATACCTGACATTTGCATAATGCTCTATACTTTTCTTTTTTTCTTCTTCTTTTGAGACTGGGTCTCCCTATCTCAGCCAGGCTGCAAGTGTAAGCAGGCACTCAAAGACCTGATCTGACTGCTGATTGGCACAGGAGCCTGGATTGACTCTGCTTTGGGCCCAGGCTGCTTCTCCTTCCATGGGCAGCTCCCAGGGCTCACCATTATTGCTGTGGGACTTAGTGCAGACATTTGATGGGCTAATTTGCCTCACTGCAGCTCAGAACTCCAGAGTTCAAGTGATCTATCAGCCTCAGCCTCCCTAGGAGCAGAGATTACAGGTTTGTACTGCCCCACCCAGAGATCTGTACTTTTCAAAGTTCTTTCAAACACATTATCTCATTTGATCCTCACAACATCTCAGAGAGACAGAAGGCATGGATTACTAAATTTATTTTATAGCAGAAAAAACAATCTCAGAAAAACTAAGTAATCAGCTCAATGTTACAAGACAAGAATTATCCTCATTTAGAACTGAGTTTCACAGAGGCAAAGGAATCTGCCAGAGGTCATATAATTTATGTGAATTATCCACAGCCATACTGCCTGTAAAGAGCAGAGCAAGGACACAAACCCAAGTTCCCCTAAAAATGTTACCTATCAGTCCAGTGCTCTTTCCACTGTTCCATGCTCCTACTTTTTTTTAGACAATGTGCTCCTCTATAATGCCCTCTAGGTCTTTTGACTAGGCAGAGACTATTCCTAATGCTTATTTTTAGTACCAATCATGAGCCATTTGTTGAAAACAGCTCCTGCTATGTACTGGAGAAGGTAGCTCAAGGATTGGATGCTTGGAGTGGTAGATGCATTTTAATTTTAATTTTCTTGGGAAGGGGAATGTTGCAATTTTATTTTAAGTAAATATCCCTCTGCATTAAAATAATAATATATGGACTACCAGAGAGCTGGTGTGAATAAAGAGCTGGCCTCGGAGGCAGGAAGACATGAGTACAAGTCTTATCTCTGACATATACTAGATACACAACCTTGGGCAAATCACGTAACCTCGCAGTGTTCTAGGTTACTCTCTAAGTCTGTGGTTGCAGAGAAGAGGCCAACCTGAACTGGTAAAGATAATTTCCTCATCTGAGAGTTGCCTATACCAATGAAATCACAGATGAAATCCCTATCTCCCTAATCCTGGACTACCTACTTTACAGGATTGTAATGAAGAAAGCATTATATAAATGTGAAGTTAACAGAAGTAACAATAAAGATAATAACTAACATATATTAAGTGCCCACTATATGTAGTGCACTGTGCTAGGCAATGGGAGAATAAAAAGAAAAATATTATAGGATCTACTAGAAAGTTAACAAAATAAAAGAACAAACCCTTAATCTTTGTGATATGTCTACTAGTAGTTTAGAATCATCTATTCAAAATCTTGGGGCAGCTATCTGACGCAGTGAATAGAGCACAAGCCCTGAAGTCAGGAGGACCTGAGTTCAAATCGGGCCTCGGACCAAACACTTGACATTTACTTGACCCTGGGCAAGTCACTTAACCCCAATTGCCTAAAAAAAATAAACAAAATCTTGTATGTCTGTCCTATTCATACTTAGGAAAAAAAATTGCCAGGATGAAGTGACTCACTTTGGTCAGCTTGTCAGGTCTGGTAGAAACATGCAGCTGAGAAAACAGTTCTGTTATCTCTGCAGTGAAATCTTCATCTTCTGAAAGACAAATAATGACACTGAAAACCCTATAGATAGCCCAGTAAGACATGTCAGCACACAGTACCACACAGTATGCCCAGGATACGAACAGTGTGTGCAGCCCAGAGGGCACTGTGTAGTCACTACTCCTATCAATGGAGAATGTGTGTTCTCCCAAGGCTCACCATCTCTAATAGGTGATCAGGACCACCACAGAGGAGCGCACCAAGATGCACATAACAGAAATGCAAACAGAAAAAGTCACCTGGAATTCATGTTCTGTTCCTCTCTGCCCATCCAAAAGCATTTATTTTTCAAAGCCCTTCTCTGATCTCCTTTAGCACTGATAGTCTACCCCAATGTTTCCCGGACTAATTTGGCCATGAGACTCTTTGGGGTTTGCAATACATTGGCAAAACCTATAAACGCTGGTTCAGGGATATGGAAAACTTCTGGGATAAAGGGAAATTTTGGAGCAAAGTAAAGGAAATTATGAGAGGCAATGTGGTGCAGTGGAAAGAGTTTTCGATTTCAAGTTAAGAGGACCTAGGCCCAAATCCCACATCTGCCACTTGTAATCTACAGGACCTTGCACCTCAGTCTCTGAATCTATAAATGGACAAGATAACCTCTAAGGCACCTTCCAGTCTAAATGTACAATCTATATAATCCAAGTCCAGGGCTGTTTTCATAACACTGCACTGCTTTCCCTGATACTGAGGATTAGGGAATAGGATTGAGGATGCCAATGGAAGCTGAAGCGTACAAAAGCAGTGAACACTTAGCTCTGTGGTCCCCAATGGCCTCACTGCTATTTCTCTACCCCACTCAGATTGGTAAAGGTTTTGGAAGGGAAGGGTCCATAAACATCACAGTGGCATATTCAATTTAAGCGTATCACAAAAATCCCAGATCTACCATTTCAGAATCCTGATTGCTGGTAGACAGGTAAGAGGGCTAATTAGAGATACAAAGCCTGCACATCTGTTTAGAAAATTCCTTTGAGCACTTTAAAAAGTGTTTAAAGACTATAGTTTCTGATTACTTATGCAAGGGCAGATGTCAACTAGATGGAACAAGTATTGTTAGGGGCATCCTATACCAATAACTTAAATGAAGTTTATAAAAAACTGGAGATTATCACAGTATGGTTAATATCAATGGGGTTATCACTCAGCAACTTGGGTAACTCAAATCAGATTTAAGTGCACACTACATGACCATTTAAAAGTGAAATCTTCATTAGTTCCCACAAGCTGCCTCAATAACAATAGTTACCTCTGTAGATACATTTCAAAATAACTGCTTTTTAATCACATCAAGCATGATTATATACATTTATATACAGTAACATTTATTCATCTTGTACTCACTTATCAGGCACAACCAAGAATTTCAAAGGAAAACCTTTGAGTAGCTAAAGTGGAGTTGAATACACTTTATGTATAGCAGAGATCTTGAGGTCACTTCAATTTACCACATTTTTAGTTCCCCACAGTCTGAGTAAGAAGTGATAACACAGAGTCTCTAAAGAAGGGTCTACTAACTTCAAGTTTTTGTGGGTGGTAAAATGAAATATAAGAATGTAGTGCACTGTTATACACCAAGTAGATGCTTTAAAATGCTTGTTAAATTGAATAGATATGTTCTCAAGGAGCTGGGGGTGTATTATATAGTAGCACATTGTCTAAAACAAGAGGCAGCAAAGTTTAGTGTAAACTGTGATTACATTAAGACCCCAAACATGCAAAGCTGGGATCCAGATCCTGGTCCAACAACAACCCTACCAAAGCACAGACAACTAGTAAAATTCAGTCTAAACAGTTAGCTGGTATTGTGTTCTGACATCTTATCTATAACTTTAAGCATCCACAAAAATTCATAGTAAAGTGCAAGGGGAAAAAATGGTTATTATGAGATGTGTGCACTTTGGAAAGGTCAGCCATGGAACCCTGATGATATGTATTAGTTCCAAGGTCTGAACATTCGTTCACAAACTTAACTCAGTCAGTTCATATCAGAGCTGAAGGGTTGAATGACACTAACTAAACTCATTAAAGATTGGCTGATAAACCAGAATGTCAACTTGCTAAATTACAGCAGGAAATATAGTTTCTTTGTAGGGCCCAGAACACTTAACCCAGAGTAGATAAGAGTAACTCCAGTGGTCTAGAATTCTCAATTCAGATTGTCTCAATAGTAATTATACTTTAGTACCAAATAAGTGAATTTACATATTACCCTTTTTTTCATCTTCCTCTTCATCACTGAACTCAGCTAAAGAAAAAGCTTCTTTGACTTGCTCCAATTCATGTTTTAGATTCTCTAATTCTTCACCAGACAGAGAGTTAGTGAGGGATTTCACCTGGTTACAAAAAGATATTCATAAAATATACATGAATAAAAAAAATAACTGAAAGTAGATAAAGAATTCCAGTGAAGTCCTTACTGATAAGGAAATTTTACAGATAAGAAAAGTATTATATAACCATTTTACAGATTATGGGGCTAAAGATCAATTTTGCAGTAACAGAAACAGCTCATTGGTCAACAATAGTTTTGTTTACCAAAGTTTAAGGATGGAAAGTTGGTTGGCCCCTTCAGAGGATACAGAGATAACATATATACACATATATTTATTTGTTTGTTTTACCATATGCAGTAAATCAAAGTATGGCTTAGATCAGAGATGTCTAGAAAAATTTTAGTGTCTAATAACTGTTTTAGAAATACAAGTGAAATAATATTGAGTCAATTAACAACAAACAAAGCAGCTCATTTTATGGAAATAACAGATCAAGGTAAAGGAAAAAATAACAGCTGAGCTACTGAGAACTCTGTTCCCAGGGCTACTGGGAGACAACACTTTACTTATTCTCTATTTCAAGTATTAGGTTCAGATATTGTTTCACGAATTTTCACTGGTTGTCCTCCAAGTGTGGAATTCTCTTCCTCCTTGCCTCTGATTCCTGGCTTCTTTCAAGTCTCAGCTAAAATCCCATCTTCTGCAAGAAAGCCTTTCTCAATCTCCTTTAAAGCTTGTGCCTTCTTCTCTGTGATTAACTCTATGTATATCTTGTTCATACATAATTGTTTGCATGTTTCCTCTCCCCATTAGATTGTGAGCTTCTTGAGGGTAGAAACTGTTTTTGCTCTTCTTTAGTATCCCTGGTGCTTAGCACAGTGCCTGGCACATAGCAGGTAGTTGTTATTTACAATCTAGAGCCTCCATCTTTGAAATGCCTTCCCTTCTCAATTGAAGACTGACTTTCAGTTTCATTTCTGCCTTACATCTCGGGTCAAACAAAAACCATATATTCTTTCAAAAGTTGACAAATTCAAAACCTGAATGTAGCAATTTCTAATCATGTTTTGCCTGATTTTTATTTAAACTACCTCAGCCCTGTAGTTCCCATAGTAAGAGTTAAGAGTCAAGATCATAACACTTTCAATAGGTCTCAACTAATTTTTTTTTCTTTTTACCTACCCAAATATGAGTCTATGAGTTTGACAATGATGCCTGATCACAGATCTTGGGTCCTCTCTCCATATCCCCAGACTGTATTACTTATCTCTCTTCTCTCCACATTCCCCACCATGACACTCCATCACCAAACTTTCACATTAACTGGGGCTTTTATATCTACTAAATATGTGCATTTCAATGGACTATCATGATGTAGAGGTAACAAGGTTCTTGAAACTATGCCATTGGTGTGTATGCTTTATAGCTGCTATTTAACTAGAAAGCTATAAGTACAGACCTGGCAACATACTGCTAGGACCAATCAAGAAAAAGTATGGACAGATGCCTCACCTAAAGACTGGCCACATGATGATGATTTTTTTAAGCCACAGAAATTAATGAAGACTGCCTATAGAGTATGGAGGTGATGCAATTCATTGTTAGAAGGTACATCACACCAAAAAAGTCATGGAGTATCCAAAAAAAAAGTCACTGGAATATCAAAGTAATTTTGTATAATTATTTTTCAGTTTATATTATATAGTTTCCCCCCTACCCCACCCCTTCAAAGAGATTTCATTTAAGGAATAAGCTACCTCCTTTGGGGAGCATTCTACAGTCAAACTATTATGGTACCTTTATTTCACTCTCTCGAGAAAGCATTTCCAAAGCTTCTAGATGTGAAAGGCCTTGAAATTCATCAAAGAGTAATCCATAATGAGCTTTCTTGTCAGTATCCATGGTAACCTCATTGGCTGTCCTCAGCTCTTCCTTATCTTTTGCCTCTCGCAAAACCTGAAAAGAAATAGGGGCATTAAGCTTGCACAATGGTAGCTCAAGAGTGACTTTTAAAAGCAGGGGAAATAGAAGCCAAGATAGGTAGCAAGGGTATTAACAGTGCAGAGTACTGACCTTTTAATTCATGGAACATTAAAGACGGAAAGACTGAGGAGATTTATTGTAGAAGTGGTCACAAGTATTTTGATACTGAACAGCAAAATGAATACTTGAGAAACCAGATATTTTCAGGGAAATAGCTTTAACATTAACCTAATGTACACATACACCTCAAAGCTTAGAATCTACTAAAAAAACAGAAATATGCAAGGGCAAAAACTGAAAAGAAAAATAAGAACCAGCCCCACTTCAAACCATTAGCTCTCTAACCATAGATTTATAGAATCTCAGCATTGTAAGAGATCTCAGAGCTTATTCAATCCAATAATCCCTCCCCCAACCCCCAGCAGAAAGTAGGAGTTGTAGGATCATAGATTTAGAACTGGAAAGGATCTTACGGCTCTTCTAGTCCAATCTCTTCATTTTACAGACAAGGAAACTAAGGGCCTAGAGAGGTTAAGTGATTTGCCCAAGGTCACACAGGTATTGAGTGTACTATATGAATACCAGCTATTATTAAAGCATCATATAAACAAAAAATTATCACTAGCTCATTTTCATATTTTATTATTACTATATTAACAATATGTTCCTTTGTTATTAGAAAGTGAACGCTGATTGCTATGTGAATCAGTGGAAATGGTACCCACGCTGATGAAATCAGAATATTAAAGTACTAAAGATTGCATAAGTTTTGGTTGCCTAGAGAAATAGCTACTAAAAACAAGTCAAAAATAAAAAAATAAGAAAGGCCTAAGATTCTTGACACAGGCACCAATGTGGATCACAATGGAAAAAGAAAATACAACCATAAGAAGATATAGTACCTGAGACAATGTAGAATTTTGGTTCATTAGGCCTTTGGTTTTTTTAAATCCAGGATCACCTTCAGCTATCACATCCATTGTCTTTTTCCCAATGAACTCCAAAGCATCTAAGCCTCCACTAATAACGCTCTTTCCCTGGAAAAAAGATGTACAAATCTCAGTATGGTATTAGGAAGATGAATTTGTATCTACTAATTGTGTAAATGTAGACAAAAATCTACCCAAATCTGGTAATGATGTCATGATTCTTCTATAACATTTATTTAAATGCTAAAATCAATATGTTGATGATAATAATGAAAACATTAGCTCACATTTCTATAGTGTATTTCCTGTTCACAGTACCTTGCTCACAATATTCCTGCTAAATCGTACAAAGAAGAGATGAAGAAAATAAGATTCTGGGAGTGATAGGAGGAAGTGGGACATGACATGCCAAAACTCAAAGCTACTAAGCGGCAGAACAAGAAAGCTGGTGTACACCAAGGTCTCCCAAAACCAAATCAGTACTACACCACAAGTGGATACCTTAAAGAATTATTCTTGCCTACTCCTCTTAAAAAAGCAATTCAATGGGAGGTTAGGTCAAGATGGTGGCATGGCAAGAAGCAACATAGCCAAGTTTCCATCCATAAAACGCCTCCACCAAACCTAGAAAATGTACCAGACCAAATTCTCTGATGAAACTCAGATAATTCAACAGTAGGTCCTATATCCAGCCCAGGTTGCCATAGGCAGACAGAAAGAGAGGTCTACTAACAATAGGTCAACAGGGACTGGGTAGGAGCAGGAACATGCCAGTGCACATGGAGCACTGCAGTGCCCAGGCGAGAGGCTGTACATCAGGCAACAGGATGTTCCAGAGCCATACCAGAGCACCCCCAGAGTCATACCAGGCACTGAGACAAGTTCAGATAACAACAGACAGCTTTGTCACCCACTACCAGGTTCTGGGTCTCAGATTCAAGGCAGACAGAGAAAGGGATAAGCACACAGAGGTGGTGTTCTTAGGTAGCAAGGTGCTGTGCGGCATACTGAGAAAGAAGGAAGTTCAGAAGCCAACAGCAACAGTGAGGTTGCTCAGAACCCCAGAAGAGAACAGGATCTCAGTTCTAGCATCAAGCCCAACCCTCAGAGGAATAACCAGGGCACGAATCCCAGACCAAAAGGGACACCGAAGTTCTGTTATTCTGAACCAGTAGAACTTCCTAGCTGGCTGATGATGGCTAAGTCTATCAGCAGTCTACTGTTTCTCTGACCAAAACCCAGGTCAAAAACTTGCAGAGCTCAGACCATGGGGTAGTAATCAGATTTTACCCTTCAGACCACTTTGGGAGCAATGGAAGCTTACAAGTCCCTAGCCTGAGCTGAGTCCGAGATCCTGGAATAACAAAACACTCAATATTGCCAGGAAAGCAGCTATAGCAGCCCAGACTTTCCCTCCAGAAGTGTAGCAGAACCCAGTCCTAATATGAAATCTTAAGTCAGGGAGTAGCCTAGACTAATGGACTCTGAAAACAAACCAAAAAAAAAAACATAAAAAATTATTAAAGTGGCAGAAATGTGCAAGACACAAACAGTGAAGAAAAGAATGGCTCCAATATATCTATAAGCAACGCCTCAGATGAAAATACAGCTTAAGCACAAACTCAACTAGCATGCCTGGAGGAGATGAAGCAAGAATTTTTTAAAAAGAGTTAAAAAATGTTTTCTTTTTTAATAAATGAAAAAAGAAGACTTGAGGAAAAAACTTAAAGGAATGAAAGTTATGGAAGAAAGAATTGAAAAGAGAATTAACAGCTTGACAAAAGAAGTACAAAACCTTGCTCAAGCAACAAATTCTCTGAAAATTAGAATAGACCAAATATAAGGCAATGACTCTATGAGACAAAAAGAAATATTAAAAACAAAGTCAAAAGGCTAGAAAAAAATAGAAAACAAAAAGTAAAGTATCTCATAGCCGAAACAATTGACCTGAAAAACAGATCAAGGAGAAAAAATTTAAGAATCACTGGACTATCTGAATACTATGTCCAAAAAAGAAGCCTAGACATTCTATTTCAAGAAGTCTAGAAGAAAATTGCTCAAATCTCTTAGAACCAGAGGACAAAGTGAAAATAGAAAGAATCCACCAGTCACTTCATAAAAGGAACCCCAAAATAAAAACTCCTAGAACCATCACAGCCAAAATCCAGAGTTTCCATGTCAAAGATAAAAGACTTCAAACAACCAAAAAGAATTCAAGTACTGAAGAGCCATACTCAGGATTACACAGGATTTAGTAGCCACCCCTATAAAGTAGTGGTGAACTGAGAACATTATTTTCTAGGAGGCAAAGGATATGTGGGCTCACAGCCAAGAATAACTTAACCCAGCAAAACTGAGTATAATGCTATGGGGGTGGGGGGGCGGGGCTAGGAAATAAACCTTTAATGAAACAGAGGACTTTCAAGTATTTCTGATGAAAACACAACAGCTGCATAGAAACTTTGAAGTTCAAAAGAATGAAGAGAATCATGAAAAGGTAAACATGAACAAACAATGATAAAGGACTAAGCAAGGAAAAACTGCTTACATTCAATTATGAGGAGATGATACATCTTTCCTCTCTGAACTCTATCTTCGTCAAAAATCCCAGGGAGAGTCTAATTAGACTAGGCCTGGGAGTGGTTCTGTTATATCTTGATGATCTTAAGAGAATGGAAAGAGAGGGGAAGAGGAATACATGGCGGGGGCGGGGGGGGAAGGAAGGTTAGGGAAATTACCTCACATAATGAGGGTGCACAAGTAGACATCTATAAAAAGAGGAGGGGATGGAGGAACAACTGAAACTTCAATCCCACTCTCATCTGAACTGGTAAAAAGAAGGTACAATACACACACACACATATACAGAGTTTGGTACAGAAATATTTCATTTAACATGGAAATAGAAGAGAAAGGAGAGAAGTGGGGAGGGGAAGGGCAGATTCAGAGTCCTAAGCAAAACAAACTCTAAAAGTACAAAAAAAATACTTTTAGCTCTATTGAGGTAGCAGAGAATGGGAATCGGGGGTGGGGAACGGACAAACAAGTACATAAATATGATGGAAACTACTGCATTGTAAAAAATAATGAAAGGGGTGGTGTCAGAGAAACATGGAAAGATTTATATGATCTCATCCTGAATGAAGTAAATAGAAACAATTTATACAATGATAGCAATGTGGCAAAGGCAAACAATGCTTTTTCTTTATTTTTTTTGTTACATTTTAAGCTCCAAATTGTTTCCCTCCTTCCCTATCGTGCACTAAAGAAGACCACCATTTGATGCAGATTTATAAATACATATAAAACCATACTATGCATACTTTTATTTATCAGTTCTTTCTCTGGAGGTAGATAGCATCTTTCTTTAATGATCCTTTATAGCTGATTTGAGTATTGCTAGTATTCAGAATAATTTGGTTGTTCATAATTATTCTTCAAACAATATTGCTGTTATCATATACAATGTTCCCTTGGTTCTGCTCATTTCACTTTTCATTATTTCATAAATGACTTTCTATGTTTTTCTAAAATCAACCAGTTCATCATTTCTTATGATACAGTAGTATTCCATCACAATCATATACCACAACTTGTTAAGCCATTCCCCAACTGATGGACATCCCCTCAGTTTCCAGTTCTTTGCCACCACAAAAGAGCTGCTTATTTAAAGAAACACTTCTATATATTGACATGGACCACTTATCAGTAATATTATATTGTTACAGAAAAGGTCCCAGATTTGTCAGAAAGCCTAAGTTCAAGAGGACTATCATTTACATAGGCTATATGAACTTTGGCAAGTTGTCTTTCTAGACTCTATTTTCTTATCTGTGAAAAGAGGATAATAATATTTTATCTACTTACCGTATGGGGTTGTTGTGAGGCCTATAAAAGGTTGTTGTGTAAAGGACTATAAAAATATGAGTCTATAATTATTACTGTGAGACATTTGGGTTATTTCCGATTTTTACCATTATGAATGGCATTGCTATGAACATCTATATAAACTTCTTTTTTTTTTCTTTTAGGTTAGTATGCTCCCCAAAACAAAATTTTTGAATGAAAGGATATGAAGTTTTATAGCCTGTAACATGTGAACAATATTTATAAGAGGGAATGTCTAATCTACTTACAAATTTTTAAAAATCCAAATATGAAAAATGTTGTGTTTCTTGCCCTCACACTATATCTGGCCACATATAACACCACTTTTTCTTACAGATGTTTTTAACCCCAAACTTAAATCCAAATCATGACATATAATCTACAGTGTGGAATGTCATAAATATAAATAGTATGATTCAACACAGGTTTTTTGTTTGTTTGTTCTTTGGCAAGGCAATCGTCGTTAAGTGACTTGCCTAGGGTCACACAGCTAGTGTCAAGTGTCTGAAGCCGCATTTGAACTCAGGTTCTCCAGACTCCAGGGCCAGTGCTCTACCCACAGCGCCACCTAGCTGCCCCCACCATGGTCTTTAAATAAAAAGGTAGAACAAAAAGTTTGAAAATACTAGAGTTTTCAAAATAATAACTGCTATTTTTATAATGCTTTAAGCTTTACAAAGAATTTTCCTTATAATAACTCTTTGTAGTAGGTAGCACAACCATTATTATCCTGATTCACACAGATGAGCACAGTAGGCTCAGGAAGTATAAGCTGGTAAATATTAGAGCCTGGGATAAAGCCTAGATCTCCTGGACAAGTTCATCCCCTTTTCTTCTACTCAAAACTCTATTTTATGTGAGGGATGAAGGAAGCACACCTTTTCATACTCACCGTACTCTGAACTGCTGTAGAAATAGTTGAGAATACACCAAGTGCTGCACCCATTGGTGAGGTATTTCCATCCTCTTTATTGATGCTGCCTGCTTTGACATTAGTCTTTTCTGTATTTCACAGGAAAAGAAAAGGTTGGAGAAAAGGAAATCGCATGAATATCGATGGACCCCATACCTTAAAAGGTCTCTTAGAGGTCATCTGGTTTAACCCATGTCATCTCACAGATTATGAAAATGAAGTTCAGAGAATTACACTGATTTACCCAAGGTCACAAAACCAGCATGTGGCAGAACAAAGACTTGAACCCAGAACAGAGTAGGTATTTAATAAAATTTTGTTCAATTGAACCCAGGTCTTCCAATTCCAAGTCCAGTGCTTCTTCTACTTTATGTTTTACTAAACAATGAGCTTCATAAGAGCAATCTCATTCACTCGATCAACAACCAAATTTATTAAGTGCTTACTATTATGTGTCAGGCACTATGTAAAGTTCTGGGGATACAAAAAAAAAGGTAAAAACAATCCCTGACCTCAAATTCAAATGGGGAAGACAATAGACACATAAATAAGTACATATAAGATAGAGTAGCTAGAAGGTAGCTTTGGAGAAGGCACAGGCAATAGAGGAATGAGGAAAAGGCTTCTGCCAGAGGTGACACTTCAGGTAAGTCTTAAAGGAAGCCAGTGATCCAAAAAGGCATAAGTGAGAAGACAGAGCATTCCAGACACAGAACAGAGCTGGTGCAAATGCCCAGAGATGGACTGATGGAACATCATGAAAAACGGATAGGCCAGAATGGAAGGACTGAGAAGTATGATGAGAGGATTAACATGTAGTAACACTTGAAAGGTAGGAAGGGGCTATGCTGAAAGGCTTTGAATGACAAAAAGAGGAATTTATATTTGATCCTTGAGGTAACAGGGAGCAAATGGAGTTTACTGAGTATGGGAGGTGACATAGTCAGACCTACGCTTTAGGAAAAACACTTCGTCAGCTGAGTCTAAATATGGATTAAAATGGAGAAAGATATGAGGCAGGAAGTTCAATTACAAAGCTATTGCAATAAGCCAGGCAAGAGGTGATAATGCCTTGAACTAAGGTGGTGGTTGTTAGTGGAAAGATATATGCAAGAAATGTTATAAAGAAATAAATTACAAGATCTGGTTACTTACTGGCTATGTGGTATGACTGAGAATGACACAAATTAAAAACATGGGTGAGTGGGAGACTGATGGTGCCCTTGACAGTAACAGGGAATTTAAAAAGAAAGCTGTATTTTGGGAGAAAATATGTTCTCTTTTGGAACATATGTTGAGCTTGAAATATCATCCTAAAAACTGTTTAACCATGGTGAATGAAGAAGAATTTTATAGCTAAAAGTAACCTCAAAAAGGCGTATAATTTGGGGGGGGGGGGGCAGCTAGGTGGTGCAGTAGATAGAATATCGGCCCTGAAGTCAGGAGGACCTGAGTTCAAATCCAGCCTCAGACACTTGACACTTACTAGCTGTGTGACCCTGGGCAAGTCACTTAACCCCATTGCCTAGGCAGAAAAAGAAAAAGAGCAACTGGAAGAAGGTATATAATTCAAGAAGAATTAATTTCCATGAAGAATGAATTTATTCTGTAACATGCCCAAGAAGGCATCATCCAAGCCTCTAATGAAGTGAAACTTACTACCTGGCAAGTAACTAGTTTATATGGCACTTTATGGTGTCCCAAAAGTCTTAGTGAAGTTTTAAGCTTTAATAGCTTAAAATTGTCAGTACAATTTTAAGCTAAGCTTAAGAATGTGACTAAAACCTTTGGGACACTCCATATTATCTCATTTCATCGTCACAAGCAACTCTGTGATATAACTGCT